GGTACCTGGAGCCTGGAACCTGGGCAGGCCCCTCAGATGCCTAAGTGATGAGCCTGACCGTCGCCCTGAGTGTGGACCAGTCATTAGATGCGTACCGCCCAGGGTCGAGGGAAGATACCAGGAGAGACTCAGTCATGCTGATAGTAGGGAGCATTCCTGGCAAGAGAGGATTGAATGAGAGCCTCTGTGCGGAAAGGAAGGATCTGTGCAGTGCACTGTGTCCAGTCCAAACTCCAAAGACTGGAAAATCTGGAAAAAGAAGTCTTGATATCCAGTAGCTAGATCCGATATATTCTGGACTTTCCAAGATGTGTCATGACTTTTCTGATGACCCAATAGGTGCCAAGTATTGAGTCACTTTATCATAGTTTAATTTTGAGCATATTCTTGAAGGGTTTTGCCATAGGGCGGGCACCACCACGCCCAGCATATTCTTGAAAGGTTTTAATCCCTGACTCTGAAAGGGATGATATTGCCATCAATCTGTTGCTGTCATTGTATATTGTATAATTGGTTTGCTTGCTCCACAGTTGTAGGCTTAAACAGAATAATCTAGGTATTGGAGCCAAAAGGTGGTGTGATGGTTAAGGTGCTGAACTCCCACATGACTGACTGTGGTTCTAGTCCCAGACCTGGTGGCTTGGTAAACCATGCCAGGTACTAGGGCACCCAAAGTCCCAGGAAGAGAATGGAGGAGAAGGGATTGTGGCATGGCTATCGCCCTGAGCGGTGATTTCTCACTTTCTTTCTCATTGTCTCTCTCTCACTGAGTGCACGTGCCCTATGGCAAAACAAAAACAAAAACAAAAATTAGCTCCCAAAGGCTTTGTAAAGAAGTCATCCACTAATAGATGTTCGTATAGGAGTGTGTACACTGTTTTATTTGTGGTGCGAAGACCTTTGAGAAACCAGGTTTTCAGGAAAACAGTCCAGGTCCTGTGTGTTTCATGATCTGTAAGAGCAGCTCGGTGCTGAGCTTCAGCCGGGCGTTCAGCAGATGTCTTCTGAGCACTGACCTACCTTGTGCAGGTCATGTAGCAAGGAACCTGCCACTGGTGGGAGAACTACGACCTGCAGACATGTGGGAGGAGAGCTCACAGCAGAGCGGGAACGTGCTGTAAACCCGAGGTTGTGTGCGATGCTGTGGGAGTTTAGGGAAGAGAAAGGGTTCTTCTGCATCAAGTGGTCTAGAAGTGATCTGGAGTCGGTGGAGCTTGAACAAGGTTGAAAGAAGAGGGGTAGGGAGGGGGTTCTGGGATCTTGGAAAGAGCAGAAAACTATCACAGAGGGAAAGAAAATTGGAAATTCTATGTTTATTCTTAGTGAAACATTAGTGGATTAGTAAAGGAATGTGGTCTAAAATTGGAATCTCCACCCCTCCTAAAACACACAGGAGGTGAAAAGTTACAGGAAAGCACAACATTTATTGGTTATGAGTTGGAGAAATTTCATGTGACGCTTGTTTTTTTATAGGTAGTTTCTGTCACTTTTACACTTCTGAGTTAATGTCGTTTTATAAACTAAATCATAACAACAACACAGCAAACCAATTTATTTTGAAAACTAATACATATAGGAACCAGCAGTTAGTGTAATGGCTATGTCGCTGGCCTCCCATATAGTCGACCGCAGTTCAAGTCCCAGACCCAGAGGTTTAAACTCATGCCGGGCGTGTGTGCGTGCGTGCCCAAGGTCCCAAGAGGAGGATGGAGAAGGGATTATGGTATGGCCATCCCCCCTGGGGGGTGATTTCTCGCTTTCTGTCTCTCTGTCTTTCTGGTGAGCGCATGCGCCCTATAGCAAAAACCTCTCAAAAAAAAAAAAAACACAGACTAATACATGTAAATGAAAACAATCAAACAGGTATCTTGTGTTCCTCTACATATTATATATCACGGGAAACAACTCTGAGGAGTAATTTCTCTATGGAAATAGCTCAACTGTTAGATGAAGACAAATGATTGAATTCAGATGTCATCATTTGGCAGCCCCTCTCAGCAGCGATTATCAGTGATGGCTAATATAAGATAGCCAGACATTGCCCCCTGATGTAAATATGCAGTATCACTTGGCAAGTACTCTTACCAAACAAATCAGACCTGAATTTGATCCAGTTTCTATGTCCAACCACTGGGGATAGAAGAACGTGTTAAATGGTACTGGGGAAATGTAATCAGCACGTACCAACCAGTCTGAACACTTACAGACCCAAGACCCAGTATCACCAACAGATGTGGGGCGGCTGGGGTAGGGACATACATATAGATAGACTGGTAGGTGTGTAGTTAGATAGAATCTATAGATTTAAAAAAAAGGTTTACTTGGGGGCCAGCAGGTGGCATAGTGGTTAAGGCACTGGACTCGCCATGTGGCTGACCATGGTTTGAGTCCTGGACCCGGTGGCTTGCTTTCTCACTTTCTCTTTCTCCCTCTATGTCTGTCTGGCTATGGTGAGTGTATATGCCCTATAGAAAGTTAAAAAAAAAAAAAAAGTAATAAGTAAAATGAGATAATTCTTTAAAAAAAGGTTTAATAGATAATTCTACCAATTTGGAGTGTGGAACTTATTAAACCATGATTGGAACAAATTGATAAATGTTTTTTGAAGCAGTGGGGAAATTTATATTGATTAGATATTTGATGTCAACGATTATTGTTTATAATTTTAGGAATATGATAATGGTATGATAGTTATATTTAATAACAAATATCCACTAAAATATGTATGGAAGAAGTGATATATGTTTGGGATTCACTTCAAAATAATTTGAAGGGAGAGGAAGTTTAACTTCAGCTTGATGGTCAGTGATGGGCCATGGGTACATGGGGATTTGTTATGCTGTTCTCTGGAGACTTTTTTTTAATTCTAAAAAGTTTTTTTTTTTAATTTTTAAATTCTAGAACAATATAGCTGAACAGGAATATGATGAGTATCTATGAGATTATGAGAGACATAGCTGAGAAGATACGGTTTTGTTTGCCATTTTTAAAGTAAACTTTTAAAACTTAAATAATTATTTATTTAATTGTATTTATTATTTTAAAAACAGTTTGCTATAGGACACATGCACTCACGAAAGAGAGACGAGAGCAAAAGATAGAGAAAGAGAAAGCAAGCTGCCAGGTCTGGGACTCGAACTGCAATCAGCCATGTGGGAGTCCAGTGCCTTAACCACTATGCACCCATGTGGGAGTCCGGTGCCTTAACCACCATGCTACCTTCTGGCCTACAACTTTACACTATAATTTGTTTTCCATATTCTGTAAGTGGTTTGGAAAAACTCAAAGAGAAGTTTGGGGTCATGCCTAATGTTCTGAGGCAGACAAGCTGTGCTTTGAGTTGGCAAGAAGCGTGACTCCATATCTGGAGAATAAGATACCATGGCATAGTGTGACCCATTGAGAGAAATCTGCTTTCCTGCAGAAACATTTAGTCTTATTTAAGTGCTTTTTACTATTAATTTAAAAAACTAGTTTAAAATACATACCATGAGGCCCGCAAATGGTATGGAGGTTGAGGCGGTTGGATCCCACGTGGCCAACTGCAGTTTGAGTCTTGGACCTGGCAGCTTGAAAAAACATGCTGAGTATGTGTGTGTGTTCGCTCAAAATTCTGAGAGGAGAATGGAGGAGAAGGGATTGTGGCATGGACATCCCTCCTGGGGAGTGCTTTCTCACTTTCCCTCTCTTTCTACCTCTAGCAAGTGCACGTGACCTATGGCAAAGTGCGCGCGCACACACACATACAGTGAGTACTTAAGTGTACCGTTCATTTAATTTTCACACACATGACCTTCAAAAAGTTTTATGTGAAGTACATATTATGAAGATGGCACACATCTCAAAGATTTTTACACCAAAGTAAACTTGTACTTTTATTTTCCACAAATGTATCCAAGTCTCTTTGTACATGAACACACACATCTGGAGGTAACTGCCACCCTAATCAAAGCATAGAATATTTTCTGCACTCCAGAGGGTTCCCTTAAGCTCCTTCTCTGTACTCTTACCCCCTACCCAGACTTAACCAGTATTCTGACTGCTGTTAATGTAGGCGAATTTTGCCTGTTTTTAAACCTCGTAAATGGAATCATTGTATACTTTTTGGTTAGGACTTTTTCACTTGACATCATACATTGGAGACTCCATGTTTCGTGTGTATCATTAGCTTTTATTTTTTATTTTTTTAAATTCTGTTTAGTAGTCTATTGTATAGCTAGACCTCAGTTTACTTTCTCATTATTGCATAGTTTGTTATTTCTGCATATTGAACCTACTATACATAAATAAAACTATCATGAACATTCTTTTGGTAGAAATAATGTGTTCATACCTCTTGGGAATTGCTGGGTCATAGGGTAGGGGTAGTATTTAGTTCTATAGATATATTGCCAAGTGGTTTTTCCAAAATAATTGTATCAATTTGCAGTGTCATTCCATGTACGAGCATTCCCGTTGCTCTACATCCTTGTCAACACTTGGTATTGTAGTGTTTTCAATTTTAGCTATGGTAGTATTTAATCCTAAATCTGTACCACTGGTATTGCTCCCCTTTTTGGGGGGAGGGGGTGCTGTAGGGCATGGGAACTTCCCAGACAGACAGAAAGAGAAAGAGAGACAATGAGAGGGAAGTTGACAAATCTCCCCCAGGGGGTGGCCATGCTGCAATCCTTTCCTTTCTTCCATGCCCCTCTCCAGATTTTGGACACACACACACACACACACACACACACACACACACACACACACTTGGTGTTGTCTTTAAGCTACTGGGTGTGGGACTCAAACTGCATAGTCGGCCATGTGATCTGGGACTCAAACTGCATAGTCGGCCATGTGAGATTCAGTTCCTTAACCTCCATGCCATCTGCTGGCCTGGTATTGCTCTTTTATCTCAAAGTATTACACAAGTCATCTTGTGTATAATTGGTGAGTCCTGTGATCAGTTCTTTATTGTATTTGCAAACTAAACTATTAATCGCTTTGTTTTCCTTTTTCAGTTGTCACGGGTAGTACTGATGGAATTGGAAAATCATATGCAGAAGAGGTAGGTGATTTTTATGACTTTTCTTTTTGTATAACAACTAACAAATATGATCTCTTCCAATAAATTTGATTTTTTTTTTTTTGGAGAGATTTTCACTGTAGGGCGCGTGCGCTCGCCAGACAGACAGAGAGAGACATAGAGACAGAAAGCGAGAAATCACCCCCCAGGGGGGATGGTCACGCCGCAATCCCTTCTCCTCCATTCTTCTCTCGGGATCTTGGGCACGCACGCACACGCGCCCAGCGTGAGTTTTAAGCCACCGGATCCGGGACGCGAACGGCGGTCAACTATGTGGGAGTCCAGCGACATAGCCATTACGCTAACTGCTGGTTCCCAATAAATTTGATTTTTGAAGTTAAAAACACAAATTATAATTTTGTATGATGCAATGAATGTTCTTCATTTCTACCTTGTCAGAAATACTCCTTTGGCTTAAACTATAATTTTTTAAAGCAGATTTCTGTACAAGATAAGTATAAAATTTTCAGTGCTAATAGGTTGGAATTGTGAAAAATTTAATGTCATTTTTGTTTTAAATTGTGTAAGTGTGAATAGGTGAGTAGTCTTTTTTTTAGACTTATTTAGTTTTACTGATGATAATGATGATTATGTAAATTTGCTATAGGACGGACATGCTAATCAGAGAGAGACAGAGAGAAAGTAAGAAAGCAAGCCACCAGGTCCAGGACTTAAACCACGGTGAGCCATGTGGGAGTCCAACGCCTTTAACCACTGTACCACCTGCTGGCCCCAGTCCTCAGCTTTTGAAGTCAGTTACTTTGAACTGTTTTTTCTAGTAAATGGAAATTGTATTACACGTGGTTACATTTCCAGGCTAGAGGACAGCATCATTTTTACAAGGACTGCGGTTAATCGAAAAACACTGATAGACACAGGCAAAGGATTCAGATCTCTTGTAATGCAGGTAAAGAATAGGAGAGTGTTGGGAACCAGCAGTTAGCATAATGGCTATGTCGCTGGACTCCCACGTAGTCGACCGCGGTTCGCGTCCTGGACCCGGTGGCTTAAAACTCACGCCGGGCGCGTGTGCGTGCGTGCCCAAGATCTCGAGAGGAGAATGGAGGAGAAGGGATTGCGGCGTGACCATCCCCCCTGGGGGATGATTTCTCGCTTTCTGTCTCTCTCTGTCTGGCGAGCGTATGCGCTCTATAGCGAAAAACCTCTCCAAAAAAAAAGAAAGAAATTTTTGAAGATGAAAACATTTATCCAGATAACTGTTATAACTCCAGTAGGATGATCACACACTTTGTAAGTTTAACTTGAAATAATTCTATTGTGTATCATGTAGCTCTTAAGCACATTTCCCAATTATCTCAATGGTGTCCTAATAGCTCCTTTTCTGGTCCAGTATCTAGTTAACAATAACATATAACATTTGGTTACATTGCTTGGTCTCCATTAATCTAGAAGCATTTCATAACTTTTTAAACAAGTTTTTGCTATAGGGCACCTACAGCTGCCCTTGTGCTTGCCAGAGAAAGAAAAAGTGAGAAATCATCCTACAGGGTGGATGGCTACGCCACCATCTCTTCTCCTCCATTCTCCTCTCGGGAATTTCGACATGGACGCATGCGTGCCCAACTTGATTCTCAGGTCATGGCTCTGGAACTCAAACCACAAAGCTGGCCTTGTGGGATCCAGTGCCTTAACCTCCACGTCACCTGCTGGCCTACCGTTTTTCCTTTTATAACAATGATAGTTTGGGGAAATTTAGGCCAGTTGTTTTGCAGAGCAATTTGAATTGTCTGGTTCCTCCTGGATAATTATTTTTCAGGATCAATAATGTTAAACAGGAAGGTTAAGCATGTAATATCTTATCCTTTTTGTTGTTGTTGAGAGAGATTTTTGCTCTAGGGTGTGTACACTCACCAGAGAGACAGAAGGCAAGAAATCATCCCCAAGGGGGATGGCCATGCCACAATCCCTTCTCCATACTGCTGTTGGGATTTGGGGCACACATACACACATACACATGCCTGGCGTGGCTTTCAAGCCACTGGGTCTGGGACTTGAACCGTAGCTGACTATGTGGGAGTCTAGTGACATAACCATTATACCATCTGCTGGTCCCTAGGTAGGTAATATTGTATCCTTCTTGTTCCATCTTGTCAAAAAGCACAGGAAGTTCAATTGTTCCATTATTACGTTAAGGTGAATGGTTTATGAAGATGCTGTCCACAATCAATCTCCATTTTAAAAGTAATTAGTAAGGAGTATGTGGAATATACTTTGAGGCTCTGTAATATCCTGTTTCCTAACAGTTTTTATCCAATGATTTTATAATCTGTTAACAGATTTTGCCTAAATTAGTTATTACCATGGTGGTTAAAATGATTTTTTTCCTAATCATAACTGTCCTACATTTATTAAGTGATATATTTTTTCTAAAAAAGAATTTTTCCTTGTTAATTTTTTTTTGGTCCAAAACGTATCAGTATGGGACTTAGCAGGTGATGTGGTGGGTTAGCCGGGCACTGGACTCCCACATGACTGACCGTGATTTGAGTCCCAGACCTGGCGGCTTGCTTTCTCACTTTTCCCTTTGCTCTCTTTGTCTCTCTCTGTTGAGCGCACATGCTGTATACGAAGAAACAAAACAAAACAAAAATACCTGGGGACCAGCAAATGGCATAATGGTTATGTTGCTGGACTCCCACATAGTTGACCATGGTTTGAGTCCTGGACGCGGAGGCTTAGAACTCAGACCAATGTTGTGTATTTGCATGTGCCCAGGATTTTGAGAGGAGAATGGCGGAGAAATGTTGTGTATTTGCATATGCCCAGGATTTTGAGAGGAGAATGGCGGAGAAGGGATTGCAGTGTAGCCATCTCCCCGGGGAGTGATTTCTTGCTTTCTGTCTCTTTGTCTCTCTCTGTCTCTCTGGTAAGCAAATGTATTTAAAGACAAAAATCCCCTCTCTAAAAAAAGGAAAGAGCTAGTATGGGTAAATAGGTTCTTTAGTAGTTTTACAGCAGATCAATTTTGCAAATAATGACCCACCTTTGTTATTTTTATTTAAAGATCTTCTTTTATAGCTCCATTTATGTTACCACTCATTCCTTAATAAAAGCTAACTTTAGGATTTAAGACCGGAATATTAAATATTAGTTTACTAAATCACTTATACTAATTTTTGTGTGTGTGTGTGTGTGTGTCATTTATACACTGTTTGGGATAGCTCACTAAAAAGTTTAGTGCATATAAATGTTTTTTCTGAGCCCTGTATTTATGCATCTCTAGGATAGTAATCACATTCCTATAAATCTTTCATTCTGTGTAACACTTAAAAAATTTGGGTACAGATATCAAAGGGACTTCTCTGGAATTATTAATTTATTCAGTTAACTTTGTTCACTTATAAAGTATAATATCCAAGTAAAAATATTTAAATGTAGTGTACTTTTAGGAATTCCTAATATTTTAGCTATAGTCTTCTTTGCCCATTCTTCTGGTCTTTGTTTTATATACCCAGTCTGTAGCAAAAATTTGTGTAAAGCTAATTTTTAAATTGTAGAAGTAGTAGATACTTAATTTGATAACCCCAAAACATATAGATGAGTACAAAATGAAAAGTAAAAGTCTTCCTTCTTTTAAAATTTTCTGATATTTAAATACTGGTTTGATTTAGAAAGATAACCTGGTGGGGAATACTTTCGTGAAGTCTTCATTTTGGATCACCTATTGATTATACTAGGATTTATTTGTTTTTAAATTTGAAATTATCATCTGGCCAAGTTTTCTCAATATGAGGATCTATCTAAGTTATGTTTTAAAATGAAATCTGCGGGTGTGATTGAAATTTTCTTTTATTGTTTCAGTTAGCGAGGCATGGAATGAAGGTGGTCCTTATCAGCAGATCGCAGGATAAACTGAATCAGGTTTCCAGTGAAATCAGTAAGTTCTCACATCAAAATCTCATGAGTATAAAAGGGCTTATAGTTCATCTAAATAAAATATTTTCAAGTATATATGTCTATAGTAAATTGACATTTCTTTGTAGTTCAGAAAACTTCTTTTTCAGGCTGTTCATGGGATAGTTTAAAGATGGAGCAAAACTTTTTGAAAATTATTTTAGGCTTATTGTAATTTGCTTAAAATGCCTTTTACTGACTCATTTAGTTTCTGTTGTCAGGAGTCAAATTTTCTGATTGTTTTATTATGTTCTACCAAAACATCCGAGTTCCTTTTCAGTTGCTTTATTTTGATAGTCTTACATTTTTTTAATCTTTTAAATGATGTCAGTGTCTCTGAATGTATGACATGTATGAATGAAGAAAAGTACAAAAGGTAGCTTGTACATCTGTGCCGGGGAGCTATTTGAATTTTTTTTCATTAGTCAACTGTGTTTGATCATTATCATTATAATATGGCAAAGACTCTCTTAACTAACTTCTACTTAACCAACCACATGGGTAAACCAATGCTATTTCGTTCCGTGGTAACCCATACTGGCTGGTGTTCCCAGTCTCTCGATTACTTGTGGCCAGGAAGATTCTGTGTACGGTTTCACTCTCAGAAGTCAGATTGTTTACTTATTAGCTGTCATTTATATCTGTTCCCAAGCTTACCTGTTTTGGGACAACATGGCAAGTTTTGTGATTGACAGGGCTAGAAAGGGTGCAGAACAATAACACTTGCCAGTGTCAGGGCACTCCAGTCTTGAAGCTAGAACCTCATGAAGGAAGGATCCTTTGGCCCCCTTGGGCATGTGATTAATGCTTGCAAGATTGCATATGGGTAGGTTTCACGTGATAAGTCCATTCTAACATTCTGAGTTCTCAAGGTGTTAGATCTCTGTATGCCAAGGAAATTGTGGCCTCCCAGTCTCATTAAATGTTGGCTTTCATGGAGTCCAAGTTTCTGTCAGCATTCTAACGTTCTGAGTTCTCAAGGTGTTAGATCTCTGTTTCTGTTATGCCAAGGAAATTGTGGCCTCCCAGTCTCATTAAATGTTGGCTTTCATGGAGTCCAAGTTTCTGTCAGGCAACCAAGTTCACTGTTGCAACAGCTACATGAGCTCACCATTAAAGCTTAAATCTCTAATAAGTGAATCACATAAAAAACAAAAACAAAAAATTAAAACAAAACAACAAAAACACTTTGCCAGGGGACCAGTAATAAGTGTGATGGTTAAGATGCTGGACTACCACATGGCTAACCATGATTTGAGTCCTGGACCTGGCAGCTTAAAAATCACGCTGGGTGCATGCGTGTGCATGTCCAAAATTCTGAAAGGAAATTGGAGAAGCAGGGTTTGGGGTATGACCATCCCCCCACCCCGGAGTCAGGGTGATTTCTTACTTTCCCTTTCTCTGTTTGTGTCTCTCTCTGATGAGAA